AGAAAGAGCTGAATGAGACTTTGGCCCAAGTAAGTAAAGAGTTCAGGATTGGGTTTTTACAAATGCAGTTCATAGCAGTTCTCGTCAGATCATCCAGTGCTCTGGCTCCCATCTAAAACAATACTGGAGGAAATATGGGAGATCTGAAACCTCTGCATGCCCAAGAAACAAAATTCCTTCTTTTCCTGGAGCCATCAAAAAAAAAGTTATTTAATCTATATGATGCTAGAATCCTTCCCCCCAGATAGTCCACCACCAAAGCAGTCCCTGTGGACCTGTAGTAGTTTCCAGTTAGAAAAGGTCTCCCACACCTTCCACTGTCTTTCGTTATTGTATTAGCTAAATTAGCTGACCAACCTGATGCTAATAGCCACAGCCTTCTCTATGTAGGACTGGTGCTAGCACATATGAGGAGTACCTTTAAGTAAAATTCCCAGCCATAGACAATGTGAAGAGTCGAACATCCAGTATATCCTCCACAAACCAGCTTAAAACACGAGGTTCTGCTCCTGCAATGACCTCTCCGCAGAGCAGCCTGATGATGTGAACCACACAGGCTTGTAAAACTCCAAAGGATGAATCTTTGTGAAACGTGCTCCCTTTTCTACATTTTGGCAGTGCTGTTTTAGTTTTCCTGGAGTGGTCTTAAAGTATGTATAAACCATAAATTTACAGAGGGAAGCGTAGGATATTGCCAAATGTAATTAAAGTGGATTTAAAGAAGTAAAAAACTTTATAGACTATCTTGTTGCACTTATGAAAGCATTCTCTGGTATGAGAAAAATAAAAATCCCATTATTTCTGATACTTCATTACAAATATTAATTCACAACTCGATAGAAAAGCGTGCATTCTTCAAGACAAGGTGTTACTGGTTCTTTAAATCACCTTTCAGATAAAAGCATAAACACGTTTCAGCATGTTATCAGAAAGGCTTGCTCCAGAACTCAGAAATGTTCTACAGGCTTATACAAACCTTTTGCAAAAACACAGCTTCTTGATGTACACAATTGCTTTGCTGCAAAAGCAGTTTTATTACAGTAGTCACTTTCATATTGACGGTTTGCTGGTCAGATCCACTTCTGATTCACTTTAGTGTGCCAAGATCAAAGCTGGGATGATTGATCATGAAAACCGTAATTTTTCTGACATCAAGGGAAGATTTCTATGAAATGAAGTGCAATGAATGCCAATGGAGGGCAAGTAACATTATTTTTGTAATTCACTTTTACATTTTCTATCAAGATATGCTGCATTTTCTGATTCAAATTGCAGGTCTGTTTATGCAATGTGAATTTCTGTAGGTGCTTTTTACACGTTGAAATTAAAACTTCATACAGTGCATCCATTAGATGTACTATTTTTGTTAGGACTTTTGGTTCAAAGAGCCTCCTGTACAAAATTTTGTTTCTGGTCTGAATTCCATGCTTAAGAGGTTTGTACATAGTACCTGCAAGACCACAAAGGTTTCACCAATATATTTATGATGGCAGTTTTCCTTTTTTTTTTTTTTTTTGCTCATGTGACTGCAGGACATCACAGCCGCTCCACGGCTTTTGTTACTGGTGCAGTTATTTACTCTGGTCCCAGCGTATAGTTCCCTCCAGGGGCTGATGCACACTGCAGTGCTCTGAGCTGTATGCAAACCTCTCCATGGAAATGTGACGCCAACATCTTTACCTAACCTCCTGTTCTTCAGCCCAGAAAGGAACATGGCCAGCCATACTTGACAGACATGCTCCTGGCCACATGAGCTTAGTTTAGATGTTTCCATTAGGCATACATTTTTCCTATTCACTACCTTTTCATGCCTACCTGCATTCATCAAAGCGTATGTTGAAGTTCACACCAGTATAATGGGTTTTGTGAAATCTCTAGCATTTTGTGTCAATTTGGCATGGTACAGTCTCCACAAATGCCCTACCTGTCACAATCGGAGACCTTGCTTGCTCCAGAAGTACCTACTTCTCAGAGCAGAGACAGAACAAAACCATTTTCAGATGGGCAGTACAAAGTACAGAGCAGCAAGCTCTCTTCTCCGTTCTGCTTGGTCCTTTTCCTTTCTATCTACTCAAGGCCGTTACATGCCTTATGCGGACAGTCCATTTCTCTGTAGAGATGCAAGGTCAGGATGCACGTTTCAAATGCAATTCCATGACAATCATGTTTTAGCTGTTAGTTCTCAACTGCTCATCAACCAGTGCTCCTCTCCCTCTCTAGCCATTCACATGGTGTTCTTATGCCCCATCAAAAACATCATTTTGATGGTTATATAAAAAAAACCTCAGACTTTAAATAAAGTCTAACACCCATGAAAAAGCAGCTCGTTGCATATTTACTGCTGTCACATCATAACAAAAAACTGTCTTGTTGTCTTCTTTTTAAAGCAAGAAATAATTGAAAAATGATTCTTCAGCCTTTCCTGTTCAGTGCTGCAGTAAAGGACAGGACAATTATAGGGTGATACTAAAGATAAAATGCAACCACATACGCTTAATTATAAATCTTTTTTTACATAACCTGCCATAAAATTTTAAATGAAATTATGTAAACTTTAAGTCCCTACTACTAAGAAAAAGTCAGAAATATTTTTAAACAGCATCTAGAATTTTTAAAAAAAATTGCTTTCTATCAGCTAGATGTGTGGCAGATTTTGCAACACAAGTTTCATAGGTCGAATGTAAAAATGGAACTTACTTGTGGCATTTTATTGTTGAGAAAACACATAACTATTTTGAAGAATTTATTGTATTTTTGAACCATTTATCTTTGCAAACTAGGAGGAGCAACACAAAAGTTCTCTTCAGCAACATACTGCAAAGTAAGTTTTAACTATCCACTTTAATATCTTTTGAAGTACAGACTTTCTAGGTACCTGCTTCCTTTAATGTGTTCACAGTACACCTAGAAATTGTATAAATGGATCAGCACACAAGTATCTTCTATCCAAATGACATCCCAAACTTGATAGCGTACACATATATGAAATAAATTGCTAGCTGTTTATTAATTCTGCTACTGTAAATAAAAGGAAGTTTTCAGTCCTTTTGTCCTAAAGGATAAAAAGTGTGTCACCAATAAAATCAGTTTAAAAAGCAGTTAGCAAAAATTAAACCTTTCCTCTACAAAAGTCTTTTAGCAAATATATGCTATCACAGTATAATGAAACCTAAAGCAGCGTTACACTTTCAGTGCGCATCATACAATCCATGAAGCATTTAAATGCCTAAGGCCATATCAAGGCAGTATATTCATTCTTCTACAAAACTACTAGATCTAGAGGAAAGGGAAAAGTGGAGTCAAGACAAATATACCTATGAATAAAATAGACCTCATCAATTTATTCCTTACACTCACAATTACAGAACAGCATGCTCCTGAACAGACTACTGCACAACCTGCAGTAACTCTTTCCAGATTTTTTATAAATATCAGTAACAAATATCAATTCCAAACTCATTTTTTTAGCTTGAATTTGGTACCACTTGTGCAAGCTCTTTATCTGTTACCTGAACCGTTATCAAATTTGTTACTTATATATATTCGAGACTATGATCAAGCCATAGCTGTTGAAATGATTGCAGTCCTTTCACCCTAAGATACATTTTTCAGTCTTTCATTCTTACGATTCTTTACCTCCTTCTCCACTTTTTCTGATGTCTTGAATTGCTGACACTGAACATCATGTATATCTGACTAAATGTACCAGTACAAAATAACTTACTACATTTTATATACACACTTTTTTTTTTAAATATTCTGACCCACAAAACTTCTGTGCTAGTTTTTAATATTAGAAACATGTATTTAGGTTTCCTATCCATGAAGCATATTAAATTCTATTCATAGAGGCCTTTCTACAAGAGAGCTTCGTGTCCTCCTCCTCCTCTGACCAGTCCTCTGAAGTCCCATTTTTTGTATGAATGTATTATTTTACACTTTGCTTATATGAAAACCTATGGCACAACAAACCATAGCGGAAGAAACTCAAGACCCTGATTTTGAAACTCTGAAGAAGGTAAGTCATCAAGTCTTCGCCTTTATATACAAAACATGCATATATACACAGATGTCCATGTTGAGAAGTACACGTAAGTATTTATGTAAGCAGATAATTTGCTCTTTACATATGGAAGAACACTTTAACAAATAACAGAAACCTTAAGATTCCTGGTGTACTCTTCTCTAGTGTTATGGCTTGCAACTTTTGTTACATACTATGATCAAAACCCAATCTGGTTTCACAAAGGTTTAGACTAGGATTTACCAGTTATCTGCTATATTAGGTGGGCTGGGAATATTCTTTTCGCAGTCTACATAGGTCAGCTCGTCTCCAGCACTGCACCTCCTTTTGAAAACATAAATATATTTAAGTGAAAAGCCATCAACTAAGATACAAAACCAGAGCTAAAACCCCAAACTTTACTCTGAGTAAAGGCCCAGTGCTGAGCAGCAAACAGGTTGCCTAGAGAGGTTGTGGTGTCTCCATCCTTGGGAGATACTCAAAAGCTGTCTGGACATAGTCCTGTGCAGCCTGCTCTAGGTGACCCTGCTTGAGCAGGGGAGTTGGACAAGATGACCTCCAGAGGTCCCTTCCAACCTCAACGCTTCTGTGATTCTATACTGGTTTTGTTTGTAAAGCTGATTTTTCCCAGCATGTAAAAAGATTGAGTTTAGTGATTAATAAATGAAGAAACAATTTTCTGCAATTATTCACACACAAAATCAAGTGTTTATTTACTATTTACAAGTATAAATACATTAATGCTACAAGTTCTCTGTCATTTTCTTCATTATCATGGCACCTTAGATAAGGATAACATAATATACAAGGAAGATGCCTTAGTTTTAACTAGGCACCTGTGCAGTCACTATCAAAGTTTAACCAAAACAAATATGACACACACTGTGCTGCTTTTCCATAGTTATATAAATCTTTAGTACTAAAAGCAACTGTACATTGGATTTTTCTATTTTTGTTCAGATACAAGATTTTATTATTTTTATCAAAGGATTAGTAGTTTATTTGGTCACAAGTCCTAACGGCCTTCTCACTTCAGTATTTTATAACATCAACAACTTTTGGCTTTGCAGAGAACTTCCCTGCCCCCCCAAGTCAACAGGGGAGTCATCACCAGCAGACACCGTCAATGATCTGAATTCCATCATTTCAGTTGCAAGACAACCTTCAAAAAAGGAGAAAAGGAATGAGATTAAAGTTGGATGAGGCCAAAACTTAAAGTAGTCTAGGAAATACAGCTTTTTGCTTCCTGTTACGGTGTGATATGCAGCTGTATGAACACGTCTTTCCTCTGGAAAATACACCATCCCTCTCTCAGCTTTCTCTTACAGCCTCACACAACCATCACTTCCAATAACTTTCTCTAGCATGTACTGCACACAAACCACTCCTCAGCTCCCTGTAATCAAAAAGTAGGATGGTAATTTCCAGGTCCAGTGAGAATTTCCAGGCAGAACCGAGGGACCATTTCTAGAGTGAATTCCTCCTTGTGCGCACATAAAACTAAATAAGGAGATGACAACATCCCTCAGCTTCCATACAGACCTTCAAGCAGAAGGCATACGGAGACTGAAGTCCGTCCCAGAAGAATCCTTGTTTGCATAACATAGAATTCATGACAAGCTACTATTTTTATTTAGTTTTGGAGGGGAAAAAAATAAAAATAAATCAAGGTGAAAGAAAGCTGTTAAGGGCTCTCATTTCACGAGAACACCGTACGTATCTGGACTAATGTATTTACCTCACTGGGAGCTATGTAGTTATTCAGAGGTCTCACATCAGCCTTATTAAAGTAACTATTACACATAATCTTACTATCTTTTCTAATTCAAAAAATAACAGCATTATTATAACTTAGTATTTAACTACGAGCTATAAAACTATTATTTCCAGTTGTTATACACTGATAAAGATTATTTCTAAATGTTAGTCTACAGATTCCAGCTATAGCATCATAACATTATATATCTACAGATATCTACATATCTAAAGAGCCCCCTTACTTGCTATATGTTATGAAGCAACTAGAAGTCCAGAGGAACTTCTAAAACATGTTGATACATGTTGATACAACACCCATTCTGCAAGATGTCAGTGAATTCCATCTCTCAGATAACAGACTTAAATATTTAAGACACTTTCAGATTAAAAAAAACCAACTGCTTTCCTTTATAACAGAGCCAGAATTAATACTGAAAGGTAACTGAACAAGAGGCACTCCAGGATTCACAGATATCACCAGGGTGCAAGTCAGGTGACATTTCTTCCCCTAACAATTTCTCTGTGAATCCTCACTTCCCTTAGTCTTTTCTATAAAGACATCTGAGACGCTCTAAATAAAGTTCCACTTGAAATTTTCTTCTTGGTTTACTGTATCGGAATCTTTGTAATCTTCTTCCTGATTTACTATGCCATGGAAATTAAAGCACTCCATTTGAACCAAATAACTCACTCTGTATGCATTCCCAGCCACTGACATTTTGAAGCTGGGAAACACTGGAGTTCTCGCCAATCTTTCAGAATCAACTCTCATCTGACACTTTGTCACTTCATTTGCTTCTCCTCCTATTGTCAAAACAATTTTTAATGGTACTCTGAACAGTTATGCTTATCAGGATTCTAATTACATTTTTTAAAAATTCCAGACTAAACTGCGCTAAAAAACTCCTGAAGTTTATCCAAGATAATCTGCCTTATGTAAGGTTTTCTGTAACTCTATATCATTTTGCCAATGAATGATTTACTTTGGATTTTCAGCAAGATACCCAGAACAAACAATTTCAGTTAAGATAAACTCAGTACATGAGAAGTCAGGAACAAAGAATGATATCAGTAAAAGCTACCTTATTAGCGGCTTCCAATGCATTTATTAGGTTCTGCAACTCTTCCTTATTCATCTCTATAGAAATTGGTTTAATTTCACCATTTTCTCTCACATCCAAATCGAGATTAACAAGTGGCATTTGCAGCATGGAGAGCTTATCACTGGAGAGAGCAAGCTATGCAGATTGATGAAAAAACAACAACAAAGTGTAAGGTGGAGCCATTAAGTTTTTAGTCTTTCTTAGCATCACATCGGCACTTTTTATTGATAAATTAACAAACACCAACACGACAAGACTAACTTCTCACAAGTCATCTCTGCAGTTTTGCTTTTGGCTTTTTCTTCCTGTTGGGATTTTTTTGTTGTTTGTTAATACCAACAATATCCTGAAATACTAAAACCTCTGTTCATAGCAATGCATTTGTCAAAACAATTTGTTAAAATTACTGGGCTGCTACGTTTTTGTATTCTAGGTGAAAAGAAAGAATACATTTGATCATGGCTCTTGAAAAATTAATTATATGAATTCTGAAGTCACTGTATTCAAATAGTTCTAGCAATCAATAAGTAAGAAGGGTCTTACTGAAGGGGACAGTTGGGATAAAGAGGTCACCTTTGTGCATTTTTCAGCTCTCTCTATAGCTGATCCAACACTGTTTGTCAGATATCCTATTTGACAAACACTGATGAAGATGATTACAGATCAATTATGCTTTCTTTTTTATTATTGTATTCACTCTAGTATAAATAAGGCCTTTATAATACATTAAAATCAAAGATCAGTTGATAATACTGTAGGTCAGTATTGAACACACCTATCTTATTTATTTAGAGAGCAGAACGTAGTACAGCAGAAGAGAGACAACGTCCTTGGTAGGATTTGACTATGGTAAGCAAAAAAATATCACAACCAGCTCAAGGAATTAAAAAAACCAAAAAAACAAAAACAACACCCAAAAAACCCCCCACCCTGGTTTAAAGCAAAATTAATATAATAGTTCAGACACGTATCAGAAATTTGTATCACAAAATAGAAAGAAACTCAAAAAATATTCCAGAAGAAAAAGTTAAAAGAAACTACAAACAAAAAAGCCAAGAGTTCACATAAGTCTAGTTTATATTTTTGTCAGCAGTAAATGCAGTTAGCGAGAGATCAATCCCTAGCAACAGTACATCTGAAGCACAATATGATGCCATTATTTGCTCTTGCAAAATCTTGTCTATTGTAGGCATTGCTCTTTGATTTCCAAAGCTTTTTGCTGCACAAATTTAACATTCTTGTTGAAATTGAAAAACAATTTAACAGCTCCCATGGACTAACTAAACAATATTACTTAAACTGTTTATATTTTAAGTCTTTGATAGAGCGTAATTTAAAGCAGCTGTTTTCGTAACCCCAAACCACCATCCAATTTTAGGCAACAGTTATCAGTGGCTTATTTTCAAAATAAGTCCAAAGATAAATGATTTCAAACTGATTATTAAATAATTGTTTATTGCAGGAATCTAAAAACTTGAAAAAAGTTAGAGAAACACATCCTGAATCAGTGTACAACTCTTAAGTAAATATTTCTTCTTCCTTTGAGTAAAAATACTGTCTATTCAGGCCTCAAAATCATAACAGCACATGAAATTTTCAGGTGTTCCTGAATAACATTCAATCACCTTTTAGGAAAGGGGTAGGTATTGCAGCTTTAAAAGAGAGGAGAAAAAAAAAGAATTTTACTTTTAGTTTATACAAATTTCTGGCAAGTCTTCGATGTGTTATCAGGAATGTGCTTTTCTGATACCTATAAAAATTAAACCATGCTCCAGAATGAGCAGGCCTAATGGAACTATATCAATAGTTACTTCTGTGTTGTGGAATGCTTCTTTCAAACATTAAGGCAACACTCTCACCTTTAACTGCCAGTCAAAATCCTGCAGCTGGGCAGAAGAGATTGCATTTACTCTTTCCACTAGTGCATTCCTAATTTCTTCTTTTCTGCCTTTTAGACATTTTGTGATTGCTTCTTGATAGTTTGCATTTAACTCACTTATCCGCTGAGCAGCCTACAAAAATAAAAATTATGATTGCTTAAACAAAAAACGCACAGAAATAACATGTACCACCTGTACTGTGTTCTGTAGATATCCAAGCTTCTACCCAGCTCGCTGTTATACTTGACTCCATAGTCTCATCTTTCTTATACTGCCCTCAGAGGCTACTCTCTGTGTTTGATAGCTAGTCAGTATTTACCACAGCAACATATAAAGAAAAAAAATAAAAAATTCTTTTCATTTACATTAAAAAAAACTAGATAATGGAGGCTTTATCAGCCGCCTTAGACACCACCCTAAAATCAGAACAAAAGTCACACACACAAACAACACAGGTTTAGCTCTGAAAGTTTCTGAACATCAGAGTGGAGACAAAATACCTCGGCTTAGCTGAAACAGACATACTGATGTACAGACTTTCCTATGGCTACACAAGTAGCTTGCTTTGATCTAGATACCAGCGTGTAGTCAAAATACAAGCAATGGCCAAAAGATAAGAATTAAGATTTCAGATAATGGAAGAAGTTTTTGCAAAGTTTATATATTGGAATGTCCCTGACCCATATGGTCCTCCATTCACAGTCTAGATTATTATTTTTTTTATTTATCTACAGTCAATACTTTAAACCACTTCAATCCAGTAGTAATGAACAAAGAGAGCCAAATAAGAGTATGAATTGTCTTCATTGCTAATGAACAGTAATGACAGCTTATGTATTTTAAGGAAAACATTTAATTTGGTGGCACTTAAGATATCAATTTAAGTGACTAAAACAGTACTTTAACAAGTATTATTCAATTTTATTAAAAAAAATCCTTGTCTAATTTCACTTTTTCTTTTTTTAAAAAAGTATCTCTAAATGCTGCTAACCTATCTGTTTAGGCTTAGTCTGCTACTATTTAAATACTACATTATAAAAATACTTTACTACTAAATAAACTACAAGACTAATCACTCCAATATGATCTCTCAAAGTCAATCCAAGTCAGCGATGAGCCCTTACCTCTTCATCAGATATGTTTTTGCCAACCACAGTTTTGAAATGAATCATTGTTTCTTCTAAAATCTCCATCCACTCCGACAAGCTCCAAATACTGCCATAATCCTGGTATCGAGGATATGCACGGCCACATATGCCATCAACTATTTTATGAAGTAACTGAAACAATGTGATACATAAGAACAATTCTATCACAGTTAACCTACACCAGATAGACATGAGACTGATCACGCAATTCAGTTATCACCCCTCCCTTCACAGGGTACTGTCTCAATGCTTCCTCTGAGCGCAACCCATGTACCATTCCAAAAAGTCATAAAGAGATAGTCCCTGAATATGACCTGTCCTCCCCTCTTCCCCAAGGTCAATTCACAAGGTTTGGCCACAGAAATCATAATGTGATTCAGATTCACCTAGGACTTAACAGTTTTGTGCACGGCTATAACACACTGCTGAGCTGCAGAGCTGCCACGCCAAAGGGCACCTCAGTCGCCTCTGCGCTGGGATCGTCAGGATGCAAAGCACAACTCAAAATGCTCATCTCAAAGCCCGTGCATCTCTCCAGTCTCCCAAACCACTACCCTCTAGCACTAAGGCTCTTCTGTATGCCTGGCTTCTTGGCCTGCCGCAGCGATTTTTCTTTGGGCACCGTAGTGAGGCAAACCCAGCCAGCCCGCTCCTTCA